CAAGTAGCGATTTAATCTCTCTTTTCAACCATATTGCAAAGATGCCTGTTCTGCATTTAAAACGCCCCCCGCAGACTCAGCTCGGAAAATAGGGAGAAGCCAGGAAACAGGTGCCCGATAAAAGCTGCCCGGCATAGGAAATATTAAAGAGACAAATTTTATAGCCCACATACTTAATGCCTAATGTTTTAAATGCTTTTAACCACTCATAAAGATGCACGACGTGGTCATTCTCCATGCAGTAGAGAATGATTGGAACGACAAGTGGATTAGAGTGGCATAAGAAAAAAATCTACAAAGCTGATTGCTATGTATGACATATTATTATTGACTTCACATATGCACAACTTTTGCTACCGTCCCAATTCACCTTGCCAAAGAAATCCCAAATTAGAATTCACCGATTGTAAACTCGCACCATGGACACATGCTGTTGTATTTACGTATAATTTATGGTGGTCGCACTTATATTAAATTTCTTAATGGATGTTTTCTAATATATTTTGTCAAGTAATGACCAATGAATTATATTACTTCAGCCAAGTAACTGTAACAAGTTACTCATTCAATTTTGTAACCAACTGTAGCAGGGTTACTTTTCTTCCCCGAGTAATTTAACTAACACTTGCATTTTAGCAGTAACATGCCCATGATGCCTCTCTAGGCATCATAATATGGGGAACCTCTTTTAGAACTTGCTTAGTTATTAATTCAATGCCGGTGGCAATCACTTCATTAAACAATGTTTCATCGACACACGATGCTTCATCCGACAGATTGCTTAATCGACAAATCGTTTCATCGACAGTTTAGATAAGCTTCTATCTGTTATTAGCTGCATCAGACTGTCGCCGGGAAGCCGTGTGTACAGGCGTGGTACGGATAGGTCAGCTTGCGGCAAGCTCAGGTAACGTGGTTCGGTGACGACTATGAGTGACACAGTTCAAGTCGTGAACACGCGAGCGCACAAATAACAGCTGCGTGCAGAGGTAAACAGTCGCCCGAACATGCTTGTTATTGTTCAGGGCCACGGGACCTGTTCTGCTTGTACTACTCGGACACCCTCTTGCCCACCACCGGAGGGTGCCATGATACGTCCAAAGCTTCAGTGCAGGAGGCGTATGTATCTTTCGCCAACGCAAGCTGAGAAACACGCTCTGCCCAAAACTTGACGCCTGCAAGGTCGTTTGCCCGTATATAGGTTGCATCTAGCGCGGCGCATGCAACTACTTTTCCGCCAATACGGAGTTTACGGCAAAAGGAAAAGGAATGCGATACTCTGGCTCTGCGACTCCAGCAAACTATGCGGTCAGGCAATATGGCGGACGAAAGGAGGTCATTTTCGGCATTCAGCACGCGAACCACCATAAATTTCTTGCACTGCAGCGTAACATCAATGTTACATATGAAAGCAAAGCGATTTCTCGACGGTAGAAACCTTCTTCTAGTCAGTGCGTAAGACTGACATGTCAGATACATAAATTTAATTACTGGAAACAATGTCTGTTTCTATGCTGCCTACAAGAACCAAGCAGTGATAGCAGACGACAGAGTTGAGACGACCTCGTCTCTTGAGCTTCTCAAGGCGTCGATTTCGCTGGAGTCGCTGATACTTCATGTTCTCCTATGTTTACCTTTTGTTTGGGTGGGTGCGCGACAAGTCGACTCTTGCATCGCCAGCGAGCAATTCCGCGAGAGGTACAATCTAAAAATGCCCCAGTGCCGTGCTTTTAAAGGGATACTACAACGAAATTTCGGCGCTCATTTTTGGTCTATATGTGTTCAAAGGAGCAGCATCACATCGAACATACCGATAGCTTGTTAAAAAAGTCTCGAAAAGGAATTTTAAAACGAATTAAACTATTAGCAAAGAGCACCTGGTGGATGTCGCTAAAGCCTCGCTTCTAATGCCTGTCTAGGAGCCTTGACAGCTAGTGATGGAGGTTGTCTCGCCTCCGGCCACGACGAGAGAAGAGGGGCAGGAGAAACTCCCCTCCTCCCAATATGTCATTTGTGTGTTGCAGAAGTCGCTCTTGTCCCTTACAAGATTACAGACGATTAACCCGTCACTCAAAATTCGTACAAAAGCAGCCGCTTCGGTGGCTGGAACGACTAGGCCATCCTCTCGACGTGAGCCTCGCCGTAGCTTTGCTCGTCCTGAGACGACCTACGTCACGATTGCGTTGGATGTCACGTGGTCTCCGCTGGGCCTTCTCCGAGCGCTTGCCAGAGTGGGCCGTTCATAACGAAAAATACAGCCACCAGGCTCAAAATACAAACGTGCGATTGTCATTTACGGATATTGTGGATCATATTCAACCTATTTTTGAACACAACAGGAATATTTCAAATTTCGTTGAAGTATCCCTTTAAGTTGCCGACGTGTACCAGCACAAACTAAATGTCCCAAGTGAAGTAACTACGTCAATCTCGCGATCTCGCACTGCGTTAGTGGCGAGGGACGCCACCAACGCAGCCAAACTTGGGTGGTCGCAGGACGACGGCACTGGCAGACGGTGTTAGCCTAGTTAGTGTTTAGCTGCACCAAAACCCTTCTGAATCAAGGTGCTCGTCCCCGAGGGGGCATCGCAGGTGTGGTTTATATATAATGTACTTATACGAGTAATTTTTGCAAAAACCTAATTTTCGCGAATCGCCTACAATTCGCGAAAGGGAGGCACTCACTTGATCGAATGACGTTTTAGCGAAGTTTCACCGAAAGACACTTTAGCGAATAGTCAGACGCCGCAAAGCGGCGTTTTCGGGTGGGCAAAGCGGGCTCACATTTTTGTAATGAGCCGCCGCAGACTGTCGCCGCGAAGCGGCATAAGCGCAGCGCGGCGGATGGGTTAACGCGCGCCCCGTTATTCGCTAAAACGTTGATTCGCTCAAATGTCGCTGTTCGCTAAAACATCATTCGCTCATGTGATATGGATCCTCGCGAAAATTAGAACCTGCGAATTATTCCAAAACTTTAGCTTTCCCCTAAATCGCGAAATATTGAGCCCGCAAAAAATAAGTCGTTTACAGTATTTGGAAATTAAAAATTAGGAAGTGGATATTCTGCCGGCAGCCGGCACAATAGCCCGGGAAAAAAAAGTGCCGGCAGTTGTGCCCCATTGGGTCTCGTATAAAACTAATTGCAAAGACGGCTATTTGAAAGTGTAGATTAGCTCAGTGGTAAGGTGCTTGCCTCATACGCAGCAGGACCCTGGTTCGATCCGCCGTGTCTTTTTTTTTCCTTTTTTGTTGAAAGTTTGTTTTGTAGAGGCATTTCGCAATATTTACGACATCTTTTTTTTTTTTTTTTATTTAGGATAAACATTAAAAAAAAATAAAATAGTAAATAGATAAAACAATTGTTGTCGACGAAACTTCGCTGAGGACTCCATTTCCGGGGGTGAATGGAGGACAGCGGGGCTTGGGCCGCCGGCGGGCCGCCGCGAAGCGGTGTGTACTGGTAGGCCAATTGGGCCAATATTTTTCTAAGAGTAAAGCTATACGCACTCCGGAGTGCATTTCGAACGAAATGGCTATACGCACTCCTCCGCGCAGAGCTCATGCCGCTCGGGCCACCCTTTTCGAACGGCGCGTGTATCACTGGGGAGCTCGTTAACACAGCCCCCCGCCTGCGTTCACGCCGCTTCGCGGCGACAGTATCGGCTGCTAATTACAAAACTTAACCAGTACACGCCGCTTCGCAACGTCCAGCCGGCAACCCAAGCCCCGCTGTCTCCGATCGCACCTCCGGAAAGGGAGACCCACACCATTTAGTTCTGCGAAGTTTCGTCAACAACATCATCGCAAAAAAGAAACGTTGTAAATATCGTCAATGCCTCTACAAAACAAAATGTTTAAGAAAAAAATAAAAGAAGGGTAGGCCCACCGCGGATCGATTTCACGTCCACTTGCATGCAAGGCCGAAACCTTAACCCCTATGCTATGCCATCGCATAAAAACTCGTTGTGACCACTTGTTTTATACGAGTTTAGCGGAGTGCGTATAGCCATTTAGACTGAAATGCACTCCGGAGTGCGTATAGTGTAGTCCTTTTTCTAATGAGCAGCCGCAGACTGCCGCCGCGAAGCGGCGTGAACGCAGGCGGGGGGATGTGTTAACGAGCTCCCCAGTCATACACGCGCCGTCCGAAACTGCCGGCACTTTTTTTCCCGGGTTATGGACCCTTTCCGAAATTCAGTGCCATATGGTGCTTTGTAAAGCAGTTTAGGCTTTGCCATATCAATGGCGGAAATGAACTTGTATCGGCACCGTCACTTTCGCAAGACAACGGCGAGGAATTGTTCAGTGGAGTTCTTTCTCGATCACTTTCAGTTCGATGGTGACCAAGAACCTGCATTGGAAATAAAGCTCCAACCCACTCAGATGCTTCGAGAAAATTCTATACACGAAAGTGCTTTAAAGCCGACTGTGTGCCGCGCACAGATTGACTGAATCTGAGTTATTAGAAATAAACGCTTACGTAGCTCTTGTGTTTCATTTCTACGTCGCGTCGTACTGACCCCCCGAATATATAGGCCTCGCAAGATCCGCTTAGGAGTATCTTCAACGTCTTCCTTTATCAGTCACTAGAAGGGCGCCATTCGTATGGCACAGATGCCGTTTCACAGATGATGATAGTGATCAAAGTGGCCAGACTGAATTTCGGAAAGGGTCTATTGTGCCGGCCTGCCGGCAGACTATCCACTTCCTAAAAATTAAGGTCCGTCGTTACTAGGACTTTGACACGCACCCCAGCGATACACGCGCGACGAAATGTCCCTACAGCGTACAATTCGCATAGCGAGCGCCGACGAAACGTGACTGTCGACGAAAAGAGTGTCCATGAAAAGTTGTCCACGTAACGTAATTCCACGAAACGAGTTTCGATGAAACTATAGGGACCCGTTCAATGCTGTATCCGCACGAAGTTGCGTCTTGCATAGCTTACGCTGTGCTTACGAAGGAAATTGACCAAAAGAAATACAAGTGCAGCCTCGTACCTTGCGTCTTCCCGTTCATCGGCGGTGTGGACCGGTGCAGCAGCATGAGGCGAGTTGAACTAGTCAGTGTGGAACAATGACGAGACCGCACCACAAGCTCAAATAACAAAAGGGCACATCAAAGTCCAACCGGTGCTGCCAGCTGCTGTAGTTATGCTACCCGTGCTGCTGCCAATCCTACTTGCCTTGCCTGCCAGCGGCCCTGCTGCGTACCTGCTGCGGTTGCTTTTGTTCGTTCAGAAGGCGATGGTCGCACCAAAAAAACGCGTCGAAGACGTGACTGTCACCACGATTCACGGCCGCCGTCCATTTGATGCCAAGGAGGTTTGATGCGGTCAACGAAGTTGATGGACGCGGTTGATCGTGTCGACTAGGTGGATAAAGAATTGCGAGTAGGTACGCATTAAATTGGTCGACTACTTGCGCCACCCAGCGAACGATTTTACAGAAACTCTAGGGCTGTGCGGCTGAAGTTTCGCTGCGCATACGCAGCGCCACTCCTCCTCCTGGCGAGGCGCGCCGATACTAGAAGTGCGAGGAGCAGACGACGCAGGAGGCTGGTGCGCTTGTCGTGCTGGCCTCGCGCTTCGTAAAGTAATGTACCGAATGCAAAAGGCACCCAAATGTCACAGTATCGTATTAAGCAGAAAGGTATCCGCCTTAGAGCACTGCACGGGCCGGAATTTCTAGGCCCAGCCAGACCCGGCCCGGTAGAGACACGGCCCGGGCCCGGCCCGAGCCCGACAGAATTTTCAATTTCAAGGCCCCGCCCGACCCGGCCCGATGGCTGTAGCCCGAAACAACCCATTTCCGTTTGAACCCGTCCTGTTTCGACCCGTTCCCGAAACGAGCTCCCCATTTGAACCCCGTCCTGTTTCGACCCATTCTTTAAACACCCTTCCCATATAAACCCGTCCCGTTTCGACCAGTTCCCTAAATGCCCTTCTCGTTTGAATTTGTCCTGTTTCGACCCATTCCCTAGGCGCCCTTCTTATTTGAACCAGTTTCCGAAACACCCTTTGCGTTTGAACGCGTCCCGTTTCAACCTACTTTTATAAGGCCCTGCACATCGCAACCTCTTCGCAAAAAGTCTCCATCGTTCTAAGCCTGGTCTGCGCACCTTTTCTGTTTAAGAATATGTTTTGAAGTAGCTTTACATGTCAACGCGTTCTTAAAATATACAACCCTTTAAGGCAAGCTTAAGTTTAATATATTCCTACTTAACCCCTTAAAACGTTTTTTTCAAGATGGTTCCCAAAACGTGCAAGCGCGGAACGGACTATGTACACTACGCGACACTGATACCGCGAACACGACGTTGGCTCTTTTTCCAAATTTTACTTCGAAATGGTGCTAGTAGGCACCAAAGTATACCGCTTAGCTCTGTGGCCCAGATGAGCACTTCTAAAGACATTAATAGTTTTGAAAACAGCACTTTGATTCTATGAGATAAACATAAAAACACGACGATCGCTTGTTCGCGGTAATATAGTGTCGCGCTCTGTGCAATAAGGGAGTCTTAGAATAACGTACTCGAGCACTTTGGGCAAGCTAAAATTAGCATCGCCATAGGTATTACATCGCAACGCTATTTTTACGGTACCCAAAGCGCTTGCGTACGTTTTTCTAAATCTTCCTAATAGTGAACTAGATATTTTTGAGAGCGATGAATCAGACAGGTTGACAAGCATATGACTGGGACTTTATTTTGTTTACAATTTATAGCACAACCCTCGCTAACACGGAAAAAGCTTGAAGGCTTTCTAGCTTCAATTAAGACGTCTTTTAGTTATAATTTTTAACGACGCTGTAGTGAATTTGCACTTCGCTTTTTTTTGTATTCAATGAACCTAAAAGATTAATGAGCAAGCTTCTTGCTATCAACAACAATTTATGATTTACGGCACAAGATTGCCCAGGCACGGCCCGGGCCGGCCCGGGCCGGCGCGGCCCGAGAACTTTTTTGTTCAAGCCCGAGCCCGGTCCGGGCCCGAGAAAATACGTGCTACCCGGCCCGAGCCCGGCCCGCGGGCCGGGCCGGGCTCGGGCTTTCGGGCTGGTCCGGGCCCGTGCAGTGCTCTAGCAGAAATTCCCCTCTTCCGGACGGTTATTGGCTTATTGCCCTGCGGATCTGCCCTTTGGCCTCGAAAAGAGTGGGCCCTCGAAACCCAAAACATTCCCCGCCATTTCAGGTGACACAATTCTTTAACGTTCAAAGACATCTTCTTATGTTTTCTTTCTTTCTTTTTTGTGCCTTGTCTGTTTTTGGGCAGAGTAAGAGGAAAGCGTGCCTCACAATATTTACGAGTGTGGCCGCCACAGACGCGACCCTCTGTGGCCCTTGGCTTTGGGAGTACCCCGATTCTCGGGCAGGGGAGTTCCGATTCGAGGGATATACGCGTTTCCCCACCGAGGCTGGACAAGCGAGGGAAGGGGACCACCGAGCGAAGCGTCGTGAGCCACTTCCCGCTCGGTGAATTCGAAGACGGGGGAGGAGGACTCCGGGGGGAAACCAGGCGGCAGCTCCCTTCCTTAGACACTCCTTCCCCGACCTTCGTGTTCTACACCTGCCGTTTTACGTGACAACGACCTCTATTCAACGTCCGGGGTTGTTCTTGGGACGTCGAGCACGAAACGTCTCAACGTACCTCCGTTCCACGCAAGCGGGTTCTGAAGGACTATTATATATAATATACGGGCTATCTGTTTCTAACTGAAATACGAACGCCTTTGTACCCCTGAATATGCCTATTCGATAGAGTCACGAGGTTTGCGTTTTCGCTCGCAGTCTCACAATTTGATTACAGCAAAAGTCAACACCTCAAAAGAAAAAAAAAACAAAAAAACACACACAAAAGTGTTATTTGTCGGTGTTTAGAATTTACAAGAATATCGGAAAAAAACTAAATTGGGTGGCACTGCCATCAGCGAAAAACCTGGGACTACAAATTAGCTTATAAACACTTTTATATTTCTGCTTCGCCCATAAACGAAAAATAACTAGGACAGTTTGAGATGTGCTATCACGGCAAAACAGGGTTTCATGTTGTCCAGGCGCCTTTTGTCAAGCATGGCACGCCGACTTTACCACTTTACCGTTCTGTAACAATGTGCTTCAACAGGGCTGACATGTCTTCTTTAGCGGCATTAATGAGAAATAGAGAGTTCGAGCTAAGGGGAACAACATAAAACGACCACAAAAAGGAACACAAGCATAACTCACCATTTACATTCACCACGAAGTACACACTCGCCGCGTAGCACCCTTTCGGGAACAAATATATTTTTATAAGTATCTGTATCTGTATTCCGGAATACTTTTTCGCCGTTTTTGCCGTAGCATCTCTGGGATATCCCGTTACGTAAAAGACAAATGTATCTCAGTATCTGTATTTTCGGCCTTAAAACACATGTATTTGTACTCCCGAATACTTTTTGGAGTATCTCTGCCCAGCCCTGGTGCGTACCTTGTCTCCTTGCCTTTTTTTAATTCAAATAAATTTCCAACTAAAGTTTATATGTAGCTGCATGGGTCCTTGTTGCTATTCTTTGTTTCTTGTGTGACATGCGCCGCGTTCATCGCAAGTTTCCTGCCCTAATAAACCGGTCAACTTCTCTTGCACTCACGTCGGTTATCGAGGCTCCACCACTTGTTTTGCGCATATAGTCACTTTTCGCCTTGCAGTCCGGCTATAGTCGTATTTCCATATTAGCCTCTGATCCCACTCCATATGGTTGAACAGGTTAGAGTAAAGCTCTTATTGCAGGCACTATTTAGTTCATTCAAAACAGATCGTTCACGAAAAGCGACGAAACCTTAATCGTAACAAAATCAAACAATAAAAAAAAAATGTCGCTTAGGCTTTGGATTTTGTTCTCTTTCTTCATCACGAGAGTACGGAGATAAGAAGACGAAACTCTTTGTTGGGCTCCTTCACCTCGCTTGACGCTCCCGAAATTTCTGGAGAACATCCGCGCCGGGTTTGTTAAAGGGGGGGGGGGGGGGGGGGGGGGGGGGGGGGGGGGGTGCAACGAATTTAAGATTAAAAGAATTATCATCTCGTCATTTTTACGTTGTTTATCGTGTCCCGGAGGATACGAAAACCAACATCTCCTTCATTAAAAAATGTCGCGATTCCGCTGAAAATCGCAAAGCAAAAGTCGAGGTTTTTCCCCCACCTGCAGCCGCGAGAGGCAGCCGAAGGAACTACGGCCAGAAGCTTACGTGACCTCGCTCGGCTCTAAGCTGCAGCATAACTCCCGCTAATCTCCTCAGAGAGAGGGAGATGAAGCGTCCTCCGAGAGAGCACACGAGAGCCACACACACGGTATTGAAGAAGAAACACTAGCTCCCTCTTCGTGGTCGTTGCACCTTCACAATGCGGACACAAGTATAGAATTCGTTTGAAGACGTTTAATGATTTGGGCGTTTAATGATTTGGGGGGGAGCGGAGGGGGTTCTATATCTTGTTAAGCTTGAGCAAGGGTTGTCGCTCAAAGTTTGCGTCGCTCATTTTATTATTCACATGTGGATGAGCTCGCATGTTATACGAAAGGGCAGCAGCTCTAGGATTTGAAATGGATAATGTATAGTATTCATTAGCGGAAGAGATCGCCCCGACCACCTCTCAACTCAAAACACTGCTTGTCACAAAGACCACGTAGGGGAAATGGGGAAGTATTTCAACTGCCTTTGTTATATTTTGCATCCGCTTTAGGCATTCTTCGGTTCTGGTTCTCCTACGGGCTCCGAGTAGGTACCCTAAGCAGGATATTTTTTTTATTTTTTTAGTTCTGTGTGTGTGTTGAACGAAGGACGCACGAAGCCACATTCTGCTTCCTCAAACTTCGCCCTGAATGGCTTTTGTCACGCACTGTGGCATATATAGAGGAGGCTATGACTGTGGCTTCCCTGGAACTTCTCACTTCCAGTCCCAGCTCAAAAAAAAAACAAAAAACGGACATTTTACTGAAACTGTACATAGAAAGAGATTGACCTCGTTTCCTACAGCTTCGCAAAAATCTTTCTTTTTTCCGTTCGAAAAGAAAAGCATATTTTATTTTTGTCATTTCATAAAAAAAAGGCGTGTGCCGGTAAGGGGGGGGGGTCCCGTGGACAAATTGTAACGGTTACAAGTAATTTTATTACTTAAAAAATAATCAGATTACTCCTGTGATTACTGCCTAATAAAAGTAATCAACTGATTACAAAATTACTCCAAAAAGTAATCGATTACAAGTAATTTGATTACTTGTAATGCGTACGGTACAAGTCTGATTATGATGATCTATTATTTTGAAGAATTAAGTAACAGATGTCAGGCGTTATGTTTTCAATAAAAACAAAAAAAAAACATTGTTTTGCGTA